ATAAAATCATATAAAATTCTATTAATATTAAAAAAATATTTTTATTATTTTACAATACTAATAGATTTATTTTTAGTCAATATTAATATTATTATAATAAAAAAGTTTTTTTTTGCCAGAACTGTACATGTATATGGGTAATTATTTTCAAAGGTGAACCAGAAAATTTCTGACGTGATCCTAAAATTTATACTATATATGCGTTGTTTAAAAGTTGGGTCTGAAAAAATCATATCTAGCATTTTTGTCGCCTTCAAAAACAATAAATAAAATTATTTTCAAGCACTTTTATTGGTTGAACTAGATCATATATATACCACTAGTTTCAGTTCGGAAACCAAACTAGTTAATTTTAAACCGTGCAAAAATTTTTAAAAATTTAAGTGGAATACTATGAAACTGAGCAGAAAGTAAAAGAAAAGAAAATCTAGAGTCGTGGTGCATTCACCTTTGCGGGATGTCATTATTTACTTAGTTTATCCAGGTGAGACATACCTTTAATTAGAATCAATATGATGTACATAATGATGGTAACTGATTTAATGAGTTTGAAGAAAGCTTCGATATCTTTCTTATCATGTAACTACTTTTCTACTGAATGCAAACTAAAATAAGATAAATAAAATAAAATAAAAAGCCTGGTCCAGAAATTAACATGCATTATATATTATAGGACAATGACAAATTTACAATCCCATTCTGGAATAATGATCTCGTGCTTCGTTTTATGTTCTACATAGTGTAAGTTAAATTATTAACGATAAATAATATGTTACAGAATAATAGAATATTTGAAATCTATAATTATTGGAAAATAGAATAACGCCTATTTTTTTCTAAAAAAAATAGGATTTCTTAGGGGACCAAGTAGCGCGTTGATTGCTCATAGAACTATTTTGTTGTTTGTCTATTATTGTTTCGATTTCTTTCCATGCCTTTTCTCGTCGCTCTCTTGGTGAGTCAGCATCTTGATCAATCATGCGATATGACTGCAACTTTTCCACTCTTTTGATAACACTATTCATAAACATATCTTTTTCTTTAGAAGGTGAGAGTTGATATCTTTGAGATGCATAAGCAGGATGGGATGTTTTAGTTAACTCGTTTGTCAACCTTGTTAAGTCTTGAACAAGAAGCTGTTCGGGCGAATGCCAATCCTTAAAAATAAATTTAAATAAAGTTTAAAATTTATTTTTATATGAACATCTAAGTTTCTTTAGAAGAGATTATACCTGGTTCGTCATTCTATTTTTTTCAAGACGTTCAATTATATCATTTAATTTTATGGTATCAAAATGACGGACTTGATTAGGGCTTAGCTCTACACGTTGGTCCGAAAGACTTCTTTCGGCAGCTTTATTAATTTGATCAACAAGATGGTTTAACGTTTGATATTTAGTGATTGAAAGGGATTCCGCACGTTGGTCTTCTAATCGGCCTCGAGATAATTTCTGAATTGCATTAGACAAAGTTGCCGCGGTCAGCTCCTTTTTCTGACGTGAGTTTAGTTCTACGCGTTGATTATTGAGTTGAGGCATGACATGATAAACACGGTCTATCGCAGAAATTACATTTTCCAGGTCACGTTGTGTTTTCTCGTTGTTAAGTTTTATATCTGAATCCAGAGATGAATATATAGGTGGATCAATACTGACTCCTTCCTCAAAGTCATATGAATATTTTGGGGGTGGATCGAGATTAAACCTATCTCGGCACAAGCTTGCAACAACTTCCATCAAATGGTCAATTTCATTCCAGGTTGTAAGTCGTTCATCTGCAATATTGTCGTTCAAAATTAAACTTACATGCCGATTTTGTAAAATTGTAACTTCTTTGTGTAATGTACTATAGATTTCATCTTCATTTGTAACATCCTGTAAAATTGCATCCACATTTTGAGAATTTGAAGTATCGACACTAGGTCTAGTTTTTTCTGGTTGACACAACTCCAAAATCCTGTATAAATAACCAAGCAATGTGGCCAACGTGCATGCCAGACTATAATCATCGTTAGGTACAAGTGGACTATTAGAATCTAGTTGACATTTAATTGTGTTAATCGTAGCAATATCAGATCGCCTTGGTTCCATTTGTTGCATTTCACCGTTGGTACCCAACTTAGTTGCGTTATGTGCAATATCAGCTAACAATTGTGATCTTATCCAAGAGTCCCTGTTTTCGCTGCTTGAATCGTTTAATTTGGAATTGTTAGTCGAGGTTAGTGTATGACTGAAAGAATAACGTCTTCTCCAGGTATCACTTCTTGCTGTATTCGATGAATTTTGGATCGCCGATGTGGTAATGGAAGTTTGTTCTGAAACAATTTGTCGTAAAAGACTATCTAGTGCAAGAAGTCCCACGTTCTTAACTGCTGTTAAAGATTCAATTACATCCTATATAATTATAGATCAATTATGCAAATTTAATTAACTTGTATTATTTTTTAATAAGAGAATTAATAAACTTTACCTGGGAAACTAACGCATTATTTATTTCTTCTTTCCCGGAATTAAATTCAGAATGTTCTTCTGAGCCCTGAAATTCTTCATTTAACTCTTTTGATAATTCACTAACTTCCTCATTACTATTATTTCCTTCCCTAGGTGCACTGGCCGTTTGTGTCAGAGGTTGCGTTAAGCCCAAATCAACATCACTGAAATCTTCGTTTAATAACAAGTCAAGAATATGGTGATCACTATCTTCAAGTTGTAGAGGAGACAATGTTGGTGGCATAGTGCTGGTGTTGCCCTCACTTTCTTCCAAGAGATTTGTAGGACGACCTATATTTTCTGGCATAGATCTCTGTCCACATTAAACGTAAACGAAGGTAAGCACAATATGAAGTTTCTTCATTCTTGAATTTCGTCGGCACAACCAATTAAATAAAACATAGTAGTCAGAGGTTATACCCGTTTGGCCTTTGAACGTTTAGTTAACTCAGCAGTAGCCATTTTATTCGGAAAGAAGGAAGACGAAATCCTCAAGGGTAATGATTAAATGTTTATTATTAGTATTTGTGTAAGGTTCTTTATATTTGTCAAGGAACCAATAAAATAAAAATATTAAAAAAATCAAAAAATTTTTATTTTATATAAACAAACTATTTTAATATAAATGAAAAATTAAATAATTTTGCAAGTTTTTAATGTTGACTCAATGATAGCTCACAAAAATATAATAAATATATATTCTTCATTAATAATTTGTAAAAAAAACTGAATTTAAAAAACTTGAAAAAAATAAATAAATAAAAATAAATAAAATATTATTAAATATAATATTTAAAATTAATATATTTTTTTAATATTAAATTATTTCTTTATAAATTATTTTAAATTAATATACAAGTTACAATTTAATTAAATATTAATGGTTTATACAATTGTTACATAAAACTTCCATAAAAGGAAATTTGATTGACAATACAATTTTGAATTAAATATATTTCCAATTATTTATTATAATAAAAAAATCTTTTATATAGTTACAATTTTTTATAGTTATCAAAATTATAAAATTCTATTATAGTTTTACCTTATAACTATATAAAAGATTAACTATGTATATATATATGTATATTATACATGTGGTCATGCTGTTGATCTTTACCATATATGGTAATACAATTTCCAATTAATTTACTATGTTTTTAATAATAATATTTTTTTTTTTTTTAAAGTGGAATGTGCGCATGGCATATGATCTTTATTAATACATTTAATATTCAGACAGACATCAAGTGTCTCTACAAACTAACTGGAAGTTAGTTGATACATGAATATCCTTTATGTCTCTACAGTTAATCTACAGTTTAACACTGCCTAGTACATATATTACTATAAGACTAGCTACACTAACCACTTTTTTTACCTAACTATACGTTTAACATCAAGTAAATATGTTTACACGTCAGGTGAGAATTTCACAAGGAGAGGAATCCTACCACTAGTTTAAACCTGCCTAAACCTGCTGGTCCATTATTACAAAGAGCAGTGTGTATGAGATGTTAATTATAGAGATTAATCCCAGTTATTCCAATCACCTGTTATCACTGATCCTCAGAATATGCCACTAGTATAGTGCAACATTACCGTTTTCACCACTTGTGGAACTGGTGTCTTTGCTTGAATTCCGATTTAATCTTGTAGATCCTCACTAGACTCACTTGGCTTAATGATTTTTGTCTAGTCTTCTCACCACCTGTGGCTGATATCTTGCCCATCGGCCATATGATTAAGTTCCGTGAAACACCACTATTAGGATAGATCTATAAGCTTCAGATTGAAATAGATTAGCTTAGAATTAATCTCTTTATATTGTGTGATGGAGTCTGCCGTTGCCAGTTTGGGTTAGAATTTGTGGGCTTATTATCAAAGTTAGATCAGAAACCTTTTCTCATACAACTTTTCTTGCTTCGACCTGTTTTCAGCCTGCGATCGTCAGGAAGACCAAAGGTTCCATCTTCATGCAACCTAACTAAATTTGGAGATAGATTTGTCGGCTGATTGGATACGACATGAATTGGAAGCCGGTCAATCAATCATGAAAGTGATAAATTTTTTGTAATCAGGTGGGTTTGAACCTTAAACCTTTTTCTGGTAACCTATGAAGTATTATTACTATGCTATAGACCCATAAGTCTAATAATAATATGGTTTTTAAAAATGACCAAATTCAATTTCACTATATATATAATAATATAAATATTATTTATAATAAACTTTTTACTTTCTAAATTTTAAAGAGAAATTTAAAAAAAATGAAATTTAATATTAATTAATAAACTACTAAATAAATAAATCATAAATCATTTTTAACAAAAAATATTATTATTATTATTATAGAATTTTAAATTAAAAAAAATATTATAAAATAAATTAATATTTTTTATTTAAAAGAATTTATAATTACAAATTATATTTTAATAAAAAAAAATAACAAATCTTATTTAAAAATATTTAAGGAATAATTTAGATTAAATAATAAATATAAACCATAAAAAAAAAAAATAGTCAAATCAAATCTTAAAAAATATTAATATAACAAAAAGCAAAAGAAAAAAAAAACTATTAAATTCTATAATAAGCAATTAAACAAAATTATTATTATAATATCTTTATGTTTAATAATTAATAATAATATCTTATAATTATTCTTATAAATACTTTATAAATTAAAATTAAAAATAATAAAAAATAATTAAAAATAGAAAATAATTAAGATATTGTTACCATAAATTATAATAATAAATTATAAGCAATAGATTAAAATTCTTTAGAAAAGAAAAAAATAATAATAATTTTATTTATTTTTAAAATTATATTTAGAAATTAAAAATCCACAATAAATTTTTAATATATACTGTAAATAGTTTATATATAAAATTTTTATATTATTATATTTTCAATTTTAGAAATTAAATAAATAAAATAAATACTGTATTTGTTTAATTATAAAAAAAAATTATATAATATCAATTCTATTATATTAATAAAAATTAAAAAAATTTTGTTATAACTACTGTAAACCACTGCATACAATACCCTCCTTGAATAGTACCCTTCCTGATTTTTTTAATAGTATTTTTCTTTTTTTCCTTAAATAATTTTTCTGGTGGAATGATTAATACCCGGGGTATTGTATGCAGTGGTTTACGGTAGTATTTTATTATAGCTTCATTATAAACAGGTTCATTATACCCAGGTTTAATTGTATTTTTAAGACTTGTTTATTTTTTTTTAAATAAAATTTTTTATATTTTTGAAATAATTATAATTTTATTACTATTATTAATGCTAAAGTATAATAAATATACAAGATTTAATCAATATATAATATTTGTTCAAGTTATACTAATTAAATAAATATTCATAAAACAAGATAAGTGAAACTTTTATTATATTTTTTTTCCTGTTCTTTACATTTTTCTATAATATTTTTTTTTAAAAAAAATTGCAATGTAAAAAAATGTAAAAAGTACAAAACAATTATAGCCTACTACTTTTGGTAATATATAATATATTTTTTTGCTTTTTTGTAATTATGACAGTGGGAACTTTCTCCTTAACACTATAAGCAAATATCCATTTTATTGTTTTAATTTACACTTTAGTCTGATTAAAAATACAAGTACATCAATCCAATTCATTTAATTACACATCGATTATATGATAAAACCAATATATACGAACTTATTTATCACAATTTGGTATTAGTCTGCACATTATTTGTTGATTATATACAATTTAACGCATAATTGGTATTTTTCCTTGGGACCATAATCGTAAATTACGATTGTAACAATAATGAGGTTAAATCAATACTTCTCATTGAATATCAAAAAAAAAATCATATTACAAATTATTTTGATTAGTAATCTTCGCTAAAGCTTCATATATTATAATCATCAAACTTCACCCTCGATGATTCAAACCACTACTAGTAGCCCATCTATTACCAACGTTGTTACCAGTGTGATCCCATTCCACTCTCTGGCTACTATTCACAGGTGTCATATTATTATAAGAATGATCGTTAATCGGAGTGACAGCTGTAACAGCTGATGTTATAATCGGCGAATATCCTCCACTTGAAACTGGTGATATATTAGAATTTGACGACATCGATGTCATGGCCATAGAGGTGAGCATAACATTACTATTATTTGCTTGGTGGACGAAATATAGAAAAACTACGCTTGCCAATCCACTCACAAGAAATATCACGTCAAACCATCTATGGTAGAAACTAAATTCTATTGAGCCTAGTATATTCGAAATTATATTTCTGTATATAACAGGTAATGACATTCTCATCATCAATACTGAACTCAGGAAATACATTCCCATTATTTGCGCCAAAAAGAGGACAATGTTGTTCCTTGACACCGAATTTGAAACTGCTCTGAAAAACTGGAAAAAACGAGGATAAATTATTTTTTCCCTCAATAGTCAAACGTTCAAATTTTTAATATAAACACACTTACTTTAAGTAATTGAATTAACAATCCACGAATCGAAAAGAATATCATCAATCCAACAAAGAAGAAACTCAATTGTTGAGACCAAAAGTCGACGTTTATATCAATATTAATGTATCGTATTGCCAAAGTCAACCCATATGTTATTGGATCAGTTTTTCCTATCCTAAAGAAAATTATATTAATGGTTGCCTTATAATATATAAATACATATATATATATAAGGAAACAACGTGTTGAATATAATTTCTCTGAAAAATGCCTCATAAATGATTTGATAATTGATTAAGACTGAATCTCACCATAAAAATCTTGTAAACACAATAAACTGAGAATATATAGCCCATGAAGTTGAAATATTTTCCTTGCCAAGTTTTCGAATGCTGAAGACGATCCTAACCATTCGTTAAAGTATCGAGATCCTATTAAAACATGAAATTACATCATATTATAATTTAACCTAATATAGATATGTTACCCTTTCTTGATATAAATCTTCTATATCCAAAAATAATTGTCGACCAAGATTTTCGAGACTAGAAATTTCTTGTCTCAGCATTCCAACATCTTTATTTGTGGAAAGAAATCGTAGAAAGATTAATAAAAATAATCAAAACATTGTTCGGTCATCATTATGCTTACTCTCACTGCCCATCCCCATGCCGTTCGTTACTGTGTTGAACATCTTTCGTACAAATCCGCCAACTCTTGAACTATGCTGTCTTCCATATCAAAATAAATTACACATCAAAGTCATCAATTTTAGTATCAAAAGCTGAATTGAACAAATAATCACCTCTGCTGCGCTCCTTTGTCGTATTAATATACGTCTCTTCTTGCTCATTATTATATCCAACGTTTGAATGTACTTCTTTTCGGCAGCTTGTATATCCGTATCTGTAACTTGTCTGCAGTATAGGACCTTGAAATGGTTAATAAAAATGATGTATTTATTTAAAATTGGGCATAAATACCTCGAGACAGATGTATTCGATTAAGAACGAACCTCAAGAAGAAAAACAATGTCGCGTATGGACTGTTCACCGCACCGAACCCTGACAATATTGCCATAATGGTAACACCTATTACACCCACACGGCTCATTCCAAATTGAATAAACATATCGCCTTATTTGATAAAGAGTAATCTATCAGATATTACGAAGACCACTTCAAAAATTATTATCATGGTTCTAACATACTTTTTTCTGTAGAAATTATAGTCTTTTCAATCGGAAAAAAATCACCAACTTTCCAGAACAAGTAAAAATAGATGATCCAACATGCGACCGAAATAATTATGGTGTATCGCAACCCTAGCCCTTCATTCGCGTGAAAATGTATTAAGCAATGTAAGTAACATTCATAGTATAGGTATAAAATCACTTTAATAACAATACTGACTTTCTTGCTTGTTTGTAATTAAAAGATATATTTGATAAAATGGTATAAGCATTATCACAAGAAATAACAATAAGTATAAAGTAATCTTCCAACAAAGCCATCTTGAACTATAGAAATATAAATTAATTTATTTTCTTCGTAAAACATTAAAGTTTAGAAAAACATTACTCTTTATGCATAACGTCAACTATCTCAAATATTATCAACTCAAATAACGCGCAGCTAGCGCTAAACGTGAGTGAAAATATTGCTTGAACGACCTGAACGTCATGTCGGTCAGTCGAGGACTCATAATCTTTAAATAATTTCTTAACCAGAAATACCCAACCGAAAGCGAAGAAGAATATCTGAGAACCAAGTTGAAGAAGTCCATCGTATATTAATGTGAATGTGGACATTATTAATGTGTAAAATAGAAAGAAAGTGAGTCTTATAATTATATATCACGTGTCATTATGACTATATACAGTACTTGATTAAATTAAATTTTACAAGTTCTAATCTATTAATTATATTCGATAAAAAAATAGTTATGGCAAAATTCAAGTTTTTATTTAAATTAAAAAAAAATTCTTTTCCACTTTTTCTTTTTAGGGAATTTTTTTCTTTTTTTTTTTAAAGTAGGTAAATACCATTACTTTATTATATCATAAAAATTTTAATATTTTATATAAAGAAAGTGACAACATCTCTCATATAACCAATTGATTAGTAAGTTTAATATTAGCTTGCTTATGGTAAACTATCTAAGTATAAATATATATATATATTAAAGTCAATATGTAACATATAAATATTTATTCAGATTTATATTATATAAAAAAATTATAAGAAATAAAAAATTGAAAAAAAAAATAATATAATGACTTAAACAAATATAAAAAAATTAATTATGAAGTTAAAAATACTTCAAATAAAATTATTAGGTATATTATATTAATAGTTTTATTTAATTAAAGTATAGTAATTATATTTTTAAAAATAATCAGGTTATTGTTCAAAATATATATGTGACATAAATTATTTGTTATTGACTTAATTTTCAAAATTCTCAAAAATAATTATATTATTATTATTATTTTTTTTTTTTAATTTCGCAATCAGGTTGATATCATTTATTTATTAAATCATAGAGAACCATTACATACATGAAAATATATGCAAAGTACAAATTTCCCCAACCCAACTTACACGTCTTTAGCCAAAGTCTTTAGATACAATTTATGGGGGTAATATATTGTTCCCCTAAAGGATGGAATTAAGATCCCGAATTTTCGATAGGATCAACAGCTGCAGATCACCTCTATAGTCACGACCATAAATCCAAATTGTGTCACCCCCCTCTTATAGAAACTACGCAAGGAGAAAAAGGAATAAAAAAGAAATTTTTTTAACAAAAAGAAAAGAAAAAAAAAACTATTATCTATTCTAACTATCATTGAAAAGGTTATTTAAGTGAACTTAAAACCCAAGTCCCTTATAGATTTCCACTTCTTACTACCTGTGACCAGTTAAACTGTTTAATTTCCAATGGAGTAGTCGATGTCCAAGAACATTTAAGGGCACTTCCAGAAAAGTATTCTTGAAACTTTACGCTTGAAGACTTCTAATCAAAAAGGATGTTGGTTTTCTATTGTTGATTTCTTTCCCAAGCTATGTCTTCTAGAATTATAACTTCACTCAACCAGTGGATAGTTTCAATATCCCTTTCTTCAACCATTTCTGGGATAGATATCGGTACATCAATTTGTTATCAGATTAGGATAGGACCTAGACCTTGTTGCTACTTCCTGTTCTCAAGAAAGAATAGGAAAGAAAAAAAAAAATAAAAGGATGAGAACAAAAAGAGGTCACTCCTCTTCTTCTCACAACTTCAACTTGAAACCATCCAACTCTTTCAGAAACCAATTACATCATCAGTTTAATGTTATATGACTGGGAACATATAAAGAGTACGTGTCTTGTTTACTTTTTCTGTAGCTGACGTGATTAATCAATCTGTGACCTTGACTAATCATCTTTCAGGAAATCCATTGTAACCAAAAATTCAGGATCAAACTGAGGTAGGCAAAATTCCCCAAAAAAATCAGAAAAAAGGAAGCATGCTTGAGAAAAAAAAAGTGGAAAGCCAAAGAGATGATGAAAAAACTGAAGACTTTTTTATTCTTGTTTTTCTAAATTCTTGAACCTTTTGGGAATCTTTGAAGAGTATTTTTTCTTGTCAGTTTTTTTCCTATAAAGGTGTTCTTGC